TCAGTTGAGCCGGTAGCGGGAGCATTTATCGCAAGAGCAAAGAGTCCAAACCGTGGTAGGAGGTCGCAGTCTAGAAGGACACATTTTGAAGTTCGTAGGAATCAGTGTGCCTTTTGTAAAGAGTATGAACATTGGAAAGCCGAATGCCCAAAGGTTGTTAATCGAGCCGGGAAGAATAAGGGGAAAGTTATTCAAGCTTAAGAGGTGAATATTGTCAATGCTAGTGATAATAAATCAGATTCAAATTCTTCGGGCTACTCGTTATCTGCACTACTGTTAGTTTATATTGCCGAATCTACAGAGTGGATGTTGGATTCGGGTGCTTCTTAGCATATTTACCCTATGAGAGATTGGTTCTCCAGCTTTCAGGAGTTGGAAAGAGGGGAGGTCGTGCTCATGGGTATGATCATGAACGTCCTATTGGTAGTATCGATACCGTTCGGATTATGATGAGTGACGGAGTGATTTGGGAGTTGGTTGGACTGAGGTTCGTTCCTCAGTTGAAGAAGAACATCATTTCACTTAGAGTTTTGGAGGCAGCAGGCTATATGGTGACCTTGGTTGATTCACATTTGAAGGTTACATTGGGGTCCATGATTGTGATGAAGGGCGTCAGGAGGAATAATTTGTATTATTTGATTGAGAGCATAGTGTTTGATAGAGAGCTGACGACTTCTTTGGATTTGGCTAGACTGTGGCATTTGTTGAGGCTGAGTTATTTGATTGGTTATGCCGTGTATGGTTTGTTGAGGAGTGCTTTGACCTGCATATTGAAGTTATTTGAGCACATTGCTATGAGAAAGAAGACCGATGTGAAGTTTGGCACTTCTATCCATCGATTGAGGGGTCTTTTAGGTGGTTTCAGTCAGGTATTTGGGGGCCTTCCAAGGAGGCATCATTGGGAGGTAATCAGTATTTGGTTTCCACAGTTAGGGATTATTCTAGGCATTAGTGGGTTGCAACCAGGTCCCGTTAGTGTGAAGTCCTAGAAATCAACAACAATTGAAAGAAGTGTATTGGCAGAAAGGTAACTCGTTGTTCTAGGTTTGGTAGGGGTTCTTTCTTGCATTTGTGCTAAGTTTATGACAGTTTAAGACACTTCATTGATGTGGAGACATTGGGACGACGAGATGAGATGAGAGTTTTGATGGGTCGTTCCTTACTGGAGGGGGATCAGTGTTGGTTATCAAGCATTGGTTTTGGTTTTGGAGCTTCGGTATATTTGGGTCATCTTGGTCATAGGTTGCCGACTGCTGCGTGTGGAGATTTTGGATCTGGTGGAGCTACTTCAGATTTTGGGTTGTATCAGATATTTGGTTGCCCAGCATTTGGTCACATCGAGGATATGGAGAGTGTTGATCGGATCATTAGGATATCGCAGCGAGTGGAGGGTGATGCTACTTCACATTGGGTGGAGATTACTCCACATACTCCAGATCATACTGCATCGTTTGGGATTCTAGTTGAGGTGACATAGTTTGCAGATCATTTGGATTTGGATGCAGATGATGAGTTGGTTTTGGATTCGAGTGCAACTGGTGGACATGTTTTGGATACGGCCATTGGTTCACCTCAGGTGGAGGTGTTTGATTTGTTTCAGTTTGGGGCCAATGGGAGCGCTATTAGTTGCAGATTCGTTGGTAATATTGGTGAAGAGTTGCAAACTTTTCTATTTGATTGAGGGCCTTTGGAGGTCGTTTGGTTGAACTACGTGAAGGCTTGGTTCCTTGGGCAAAAGAATACGTAGACAGTTACTTATGATGCAGCCGGTTTGGTGAGTTGATACCGACATTTGGAGTTTGTTCGCATTCTCGTTTGGGTTCTCGACTTGTTGTGGATTGAGTCCATTATCGTGGATTTGTTCCACTTCGTACTGGACGCAACAAGTGAGACGTTTGGTTGGTATTGGTGTCGGCTCAGTTTTGGAAAAACTTCGCCGAGGTGGAGAATTGTTGGATAGCAGGTTCCTAATATGTTTCCTAATTGTTTTAGTAACAGGTTATTGAGATTCCTAATCTGTTTTGGTAACATGATTCCAAATCTGTTTTGGTAACAGGTTATTAGGATTCCTAATTTGTTTTGTTTTTTGTTTTAGAATTCCTAGTATGTTTATGATTTTAGGATTTCTATATATATGGAACAATTGGAAGAGAGAATTGAGCTGAAAATTGGGGATATTTGGAGCACAGAAAAGATGTATTTTCTAAGCTATTGGTTAGGGTTTTGTTTGGAGAGAATTAGAGATTTGTTGGTGAGATTAATTGGTGAGTTTGAGTGATTTGTAATTTTAGTTTGTACTCTTCTTCTTTATTAGTGAAAAACAATATTCTCTTCTTGCCCCGTGGACGTAGGAAACTTGCCGAACCACGTTAAAATTTGTTGTTTGAGTTTGTGACATTGATTTGGTTCGTTTGGTCTTTTCTCAACGTTCGTTTGATTTGATTTCTCGTAGCACGTTGGTTTGATTGTTTGGCTTCCGCAGCGCACAACATCTTCTACCATCCATTTTCTTTTTTTCGTTAACCTAAAGAAATTACGTATAATTTGTGGAAAGATAGCTTATATGTTTATATTAAAGAGACAATTTCATAGGGATATGCACCTTAGCCATTTCAATGAGGCGGAATAATGTAAGTTGGGAAGTGATAAGCACGTGAGCCTACAATTTGTTAAGGTATGATAAGTTGAACGTAGACTTGATCGCTTATTAGTTAACCTACCCAAATATTTGGTGAGATCTTTGGGACCAGCGATACTCACGTGCTCTTTTATAAGAGAAGTCGCATTTTAATTTTTAATTTTTACCTTCATTCAAATTAGTGCTAATGACTAATGACATGATGCTCTCTGAAACACTATGCTTTCGGTCTCTTTTTCAACATAATAAATTACTTTATCCGCACTCTCTTTCTATCTAGCTTTGTATTTATTCAAAATTGTTCATACACAGCTAAACTTTTCTTAAATGAGCCTCATGTTTCGATATGGAAAGTAAATTGGGGAAAATGATCAAAAGTAAATAATAATAATAATAATAATAATGCCCGCGGAAAATCGAATTAAATGTCATTCCTAAAATTGGATATTCCTTAATCAGAAGTAACCGGGGAAAATCAAATTAAATGACATACCAATAAGTAACAAAGAAATAGTTTTTGGAAGATTAAATTACGTATCCAAAAATTTAATACCCGTGGCCTCATTAACTGGAATCTCTGTACCGAATCTAAATTGAATATTCCGATTCTAGAACCTTTTATAAGTATGCTAAGATTTGCATATGTATTTGTCTGCTATGAATTCAAAGGTTGACTGGGGAAATTCAAAGTTAGCCCTTGAATTAGACTTACAAAAAAAAAAAAAGATCTCTCTTGGTATATTCCTTGACTTTTAAATACAGGTTCAAGCTTGACTTGATTATTTTTCTAGCCTTTAATTCCATATTCCCTCATCTAAGGACCTCTTGAGTTGAAAAATTCACAAACAATTGGGAGCAGCAAATAAATAAAATCACACATATAAAAAATAATAATCAACTATCACTTATGATTATATGAATATGTACATTCAACACATATAAATTATATGATAGTCAACATGTTAGGGCGTCACAAAATTCCTAGATGAAGAATTAATTAGCACATAAAACTTTAATAAATATTATGAGATCTTTTGCATCCTTCTTGATTGTTGAGAATCTCTGCATATTATTCAACGGATCGATCACATGAATGATATATTTCATAAAAACTGTATAAAAAATCCTTTAATAGCAAGGTTAATGACAATGTTAATGACCCACTTAACTCTCTCTACAATAAAAAAAAAAATACAGAGAATCTCAATCCAACGCAATCAGTTTGAATTTATACATCATCGGCATCCCATCATCAACGGTGTGATCATGGAGCGTATCATTCAGCCGTTGTTTTGTATCTAAATTGGAAATGACATGTAAACGTATATATTAATTCTGTAATTTATATTGGGCCGTATTAAAAAACAAAGCGTTACTGGTTGAAAAATGCTGATTCCAAGCTGTAGCCATAGTTGAAAAGAATATGATGAGTAATTTATTGGGATTGGTTGATTGAAAATTGCACAATTCATGCCGTCATGACTTACAACAATAGTAATTTTTTTTTAGGTATTTTCATTTTTAAATTTTCTTCTTTAGAGTACTTTGCTGAATTCAAATGTCACTGGGTCAACAAAGTAGACCGCGTAATTAATAATAAATCAGTAAAATAAAAAGTATAATTGTGTTAACTATCACAGAGTTCCCTTTCTGCTGTTTGAAATTACAAGCATCACTTTCGAAAAATTTCACAACTTAAAATATCTTTTTTTTTACCATGAAATCTATAGATAAGTATGCTCCCTGCGTTTTTTTTATCTTGAAATTTTTGCGCTGGACGAGGTTAGAATTATGATAAGCTCGTCGACCTATAAATAAGCACGTGGATCTACCTAAAAATTTGCGGAATGCTTCGGAAATAGTGCTAATCACGTGATATATATCTTTAATTACTTAATTACTGATTAAGTTATCAGATTAGTAGCTTTTTCTTGACCTTTTTAAATCACTTTATTGTCTTTTTTCTTACTCCAGCATTAATTTGGTTTTTTTTTCTTTGGCTCATTGTGCAAATAGACCCAAACGTTTGGTCGCCTGCAAAAAAAATAAAAAAAAAATCATGTAAATCACTGATGTGGAGTGTATTATATATATATACATGTGATAATTTAGCCCTCAATTATTTGTTGAGATTAATGCTAGTCACGTGATTGATTATTTGGGAGGGCACAATGCCACCGACCTGCTGCCGTGCAAATGGGGATGGCTACATTTTTGTTCTCAGTAAATAATATTTTATTTTTCTACCCGCAATTTATCTATTCACAAGTTCATTCAACACATGAACACGAATACTGAACAATATTTCTACAGTCAGTTCACAGTATGATGTCTTATTCTGTTGAGACGCAGAACAACAAAGAAAACACAAAGCTCGTGTTCTGAGAAGAACCAGCACTTTATGCAAGATTGCATTAATTATACACCTTTTGTGATGATTTTACTTATTATTTGAGACAAAGATACATGATACATACGTACAAGTATAAACATAGCCCTCCTTTGTGATCACATAAATTTCATAGCATCCCAAAGATAGGACGACAAATTTGCGAGATTGAACATTACGATACACTGTCCTATTCATACAATTAGATAGAAGGCTGAGGGTCGTGAGATGAAAAAAAAAATACTCCGAACTGGCTCGTATTTTTCGAACCTGGCCATTAAGTCTTCTCGTTTGCTGCTGCTGCTGCTGCTTTGTTTTTGGTTACTTTGCTCGCGGGACAGTGTAGCCTTGCAAAGAGAGGCCTTGGTGCTCTTGCTGTCCGATCAAATCCCCTCACGCAGACAAACCCTGAGCAGTTCACACACCAAAATGATAATTCTATATTACATATCAGAGTGAAGCAAGCACCAGCCAGTTTGATTACTAACTGAAAATGTTATGGCATACAAAATTGGTGACATCACAATACAATAAGATGGATAACTGACAGGGAAATGAGGCAAACTTGAAGGATAATATTTTCTCAAGTGTAAAAGAATGTAAAATAGTTCACAAGGAAAATTCCTTTATTCAGGACGGCTTGAATACCAGAAAAATCACGGTGCTTCACAAGGAAAATTCTGAGCAAAATGGAATACTTGGCAGGTGGATTTCCCAGGGTACAAGAGTCTTCTACCTCAGACTTTTATCTTAACTGACATCAAGACAGAATCTTCCTCTCGTATTGATCAAAGAAATGTGAGCAAAATTTAGGCCTATCAAGAGGGGTGTTAATGGTTTGGATATGGTTCAGATGTGATACTTACAATATTTGTATCTGCTTACCAATTACGGAAACGGATTTAGATATGGATGTGTCTCAGTACGAAAAACCCATATCCATATCCGCCAAATCCCAATATGGTTGTGGATATACATGTGGGTATATATGCAAGCACAAAACGGATATAAGAACCATATAATATTGAAAAGAGTATGGTTCATATGATACAAGATACTTCATTAATATGTTTGTTACATCCGAAAAGCTAAGATTAGATCTCTTGATCATCAACATCAAACCTCAAATTCATTAATCTGAGAATAAAAACAATCATAATTGTATGACCCATATATATTCGGATCTTTCGGATACGGATCCAAAGATTTAGTTACATATCCGTATCCATAACCATATCCTAGCGGATATAGATATCAGTAACCATATCCACATCGTAACGGATACGGATATTTTTTGGCACCCCTACCTATAGATGACAATGATTTCACCTGCATACCAATAGGATCACATGCCCCTGTTTCCCTTTCTTGTGAAAAGGGAATAGTCTATCTTACTTCTAGAAAGTCGTAAGAGCGAAGCATTTGGATCCTCTGCACTCCCAAAAGTAGTGGAGAGGTCACTATTTTCAATTATAACCATTGTTTGTTCAATGGTTAGTTGTGAAGAATTGTGATTGATTCCATATACAACACTTACCAGATCCCTATGAATCGCACATATTTCTATTTTACAGCCTAGAAGACGTATCACAATCATACATTGAACAATCAATGATTGAAAGCAAAGTAGCGACCTCTCCACTATTTTTTGGTAAGTGGAGAGTATCTGAATCCAAGAACGAACTACTTTTCCAAACTTCTTGGACCAGGACGGAGTAGACGACTTTAGTCTATAGAGAGGCCTTTTGAGCAAACATACGAAAATCTCCCCTTTCACTCAAAACCATCATGTATAACCTTGATTAAGTCTCTGCTAAGAAATGTATTCTTGATCATGTATAACCTTGATTAAGTCTCTGCTAAGAAATGAATTCTTGACATCAAGTTGATGAAGTGGCCACTGTGACTGGATGCAATACAGATCATTACCTGAACAGAGGTGAGTTTGGCAATAGAATAAAAAGTCTCATTATAATCAACTCCATACTGTTGAGTAGTTATTAGCCACCAGGCGAGCTTTAAGTCACTGGACTATAATATTTGGAATGTATTTCACTGTGAATACTCAACAATACCCACCTATTTTACCACCTGAAGGACTAACTAATTGCTAGGTGTGATTCTATCGAAGAGCATGCATCTCATCTCCCATCTTCCATTGACAGTTTTCAACCAGGATGCTTGAGGGCTTCTTGTACATTATGAGGAATGAAAATGGAAACCAAAGAGGAGGCAAAGACGCAAATGAAGCTGTTCAATTAATAAGAAGAAACAAACTTGGATAGTGAGTGCAAGTGCATTTTGCTTTACGTAAGAGCAATATGGACATCAGCTATGTCAGGAATATTGCACAATCAAGGAACGTGATGCTCCAGAGGGAACAACAAGAATAATATCTTTGATAGTCCAATTGTGACTGACATGGCTTATATCTTTCAGCAAAAGCACTTCTGCAGTTAAGCTTGGTCTCAACAGAATCTAAGATTTAAAGAGTTCTAGTTGCAAATGAGCAACAGTTCATATAGGCAAGGAAGGAAGATTAAAGAGAAGAGAAAAAGTTGTTTTGGAGATTTCCAGACATGGAGTTGCACATCAGTAGTAAGATCAGCTTGTTCTGAGGTCCCAACCATGGAATGACAGTTTCACAATTTTATTTAATTTGGATGTATTCATATTATTCATCTCCTTTTATAATAGAAAATTATGATTAGTCAAGTAATTATTAATGTATATAACTTGAATATATATTTTATAATCTTACTTACTATGTTTGTTGTAACCAGTACAATCATGCATATTCATGTTACAGATTGACCATTAACTCGCTTGCACGTGATATCTCTGGTTATGAGAGAGAAGGGAAGGTTATTAGTGATTAGCCTGCTATAATGTCCATGATTATGTCTTCTAATTTGTTTGACATGGAAAACTCAAAATTAACAATCTCTGCCATTAGAAAATCTAGGAAAAAGATAGAGAATAGACCATCACATGAACAAGATAGATAAATGAAACCTCTCAGCAAAGGCACTGCTGCAGTCATGCTTGGTCTAGAGGGAATCTAAGGTTCAACTCTATCTTGCAAATGAACATCAAACCATACAGATGAAAGAAAGATTATCAAAGGTAACAGAAAACCTTCTTTTGGATATTTCAAGATGGGGAGTTGTACTGCACTAAGTAACATTAGCTGGTTCTGAAGGTCCTAAGAATGGAACTATGCCAATTGACTGCATCTAAATTCAACGTTCGTAAAATGATAAATATGTTTAACTTGCCTCTCAATAAGAGGAACAAAAAAGTACTGAATTAAGAAGAAGTAAAAGGATTGGAACAGGAGAATTGTTTTGGCTTGGTTGCAAATTTCACAGAATGATGAAGCAAATATTTTATCTTTTTTGAATTTTAACTTAACTTTTGATTGTATTAGCATACATAATGTTGAGATTATACTTTGACTCAACTTATTGAATTTGTTTCCCTTAGAAAGAGACCATCAATATGAAATAGATTGGTTTACATTTAATAAAACGAGCTACTAATAGATTCACCTCCTGGACGTACATTAATTTCCTCTGAATTATCCATAAAATTTCTGAATTATTTTTAAATATAAACCTAAACCGGGTAAATTTGGATTTAAAGAAAGACTTGTAGCCACTGGTTTATGCAAAAAGAAGCAATTGACTACTTTAATACCTATGACTAATTGACTATTTTAATACCCATGACCAATTACAAAAATTAGTACCATCAAGATATCCATAGTTTCAGTATACAAATGTATACGCGGGATGGGTGTGAAAACTGTCGCTAATAGTGACTGTTAATGCCAGCATCGAACTATCAATGCTGGAAGAGATGGTGGCGGCGGTGGCGGAGACACTGAGGAGGTGTACTTTGCTCAAAGCTTCTGAAGATGGAAAGAAGATTCGTAAACAAGACATATCATAACTAACTAGCTAGCTAGGCTAATATTGACCAAAGAAGATTTACATGCAATGTGCAGAGCAAAAACACTGAAATTTTCTTAGGGTTAATTGTGGGTTGGCCCACTTTCTATCACTCAATAGTGGATATAATCCTTGTAGTTCAATTGTTGTGGATAGACCCCCTGTACTATCACCCAATTGCGGATAGACCCCCTGAGTGAAATTGTTCTCTTTTACTCTCGGGAGGCCTATTTGCCAGAAAATAATTTTCTCTTTTTGAGGGTAAAAGAGTCAAAAATTTCACTCAGAGGTTCTATCTGCAACATTAGAACTACAGGGGTCTATGCGCAATTAACCCAGATTTAATGAAAAGTTACCAAAATAAAGCTACAGAAGTAGTCACCATACGCCCTTCCCAGTTTTAAAAGTTATATAAAGGATCTGTAATCAGATACATACCTCTCCAGAAGCATTGTTGTATCCCTTCAGTTGTAAGTCCTACCAGTATAGGCGATTTACACGCCGTCAGTATATGATTCAAATACTATTATTCTAGACGATAGTGTCTAGACATTATCTTAATACCTTTAAATATTGTTGGTATAGATGTTCCAAAATATACAGTTCGTCTTGGAAGATTCCATATCCAGTCCCTAGGGACGTCAATTGGATTACGACTAGAATCATGATCTGCAAATACCTGCATCAAAATTTATACTTGTTTTAGTATTTTACTACAAGGACATTAGTGAAGTCAGTTGCACACAGCGAAGTCAGTTGCACAGAGTGCTATCATTTGCAACATTCAATTTTAACATAAGGACACAATATTTACCTCATTAACTTGAAAATATGTGCCATTGAGTGGAAAACTTCCTCTATTTGCTGTCCTACATGGAATCTGTTCAAGTTGACATACAAATAACAGAAATCATCTAGAATAATCCTTTGTGGGCTACCAGTATAGGCGATTTACACGCCGTCAGTATATGATTCAAATACTATTATTCTAGACGATAGTGTCTAGACATTATCTTAATACCTTTAAATATTGTTGGTATAGATGTTCCAAAATATACAGTTCGTCTTGGAAGATTCCATATCCAGTCCCTAGGGACGTCAATTGGATTACGACTAGAATCATGATCTGCAAATACCTGCATCAAAATTTATACTTGTTTAAGTATTTTACTACAAGGACATTAGTGAAGTCAGAATCATTTACAACATTCAATTTTATCATAAGGACACAATATTTACCTCATTAACATGGTAATATGTGCCATTGAGTGGAAAACTTCCTCTATTTGCTGTCCTACATGGAATCTGTTCAAGTTGACATACAAATAACAGAAATCATCTAGAATAATCCTTTGTGGGTGTATATAAGTTTGTACTTTAGTGATGAGTCATCATTAAATATAAGATATTACACACAGGTCATATATAAATATAAAAAGAACTTAGCATTACCAAAAGTGTCCCTCTGACCGTCTGAGCTTGTGCTTCTCGTATGCTATTGCAACTAAAGCATGTATTCCTGTCACACAATTTACCAGTGTTCTTGGTGTTGCAGCATGCAGATGGGGGCTCAATTGATTGAGCAGTTTCACCTGTTACATGCCATTGCAAGTGCATAAGTAATAAAATTTAGATGCAAGCATGTCTTAGATTTCCGACCACAAACAATGTGCTTGCCTGGGGTCCATATAGCTAGAAGATAGGGGCAGGGATCATCAGCCTCTCTTTTGTCCAGCTGTAACAAGATTTAAGGAGCAAATAAATTAACATGTCTAAAGTCATGCCAATTGGAACATATGAATGTATATCTTACCCCATCCAAAAGAGGATGTGAATCTGGAAGTTCATACCTGCAAGATTAAGAGATAAGGTCAGCTTGTATAAATAATTACTCAATAATAACCGCCCATATCAAACCTTCATCAGTGCTTCCTCAACAATGCTCAATGATACATTAAAACGTTACTAGCTTGTTTTTCTAGTAAGCAACAACTAGCAAGAACAATAGTGTAACAACATACACTAGATGTTCTGTACGCAACCGATTCACATTTTTCAGCTTAGGCATGGGGATGGATGCAGCTTCTGGAATTATAGCAACTAACGCCTTTGACAAATCACTGTCCATATAATGTTGCAAATTTTGAGTGAACTCTTCCAGATTGAGCTTTATTGTAGGAATTCCATCAGGATCATTATCAAAAGCATCTTCTATATCAATTTCTGTTGTTTCTATATGCTCAGGTTCTGGCGTTCCAGGTTCCTCAACGATAGGCTCACAGATTTTAGGAGCAGTTTGTTCCCTTAAGTGCGTGCTCCCATCAAGTTGAGGTAAGGGCATTGGGATGGGAACTGATCCATCAGTTGTTGTGGAGGAAACAGGAATTGTTGAGCTCACCAAACGTTTCTCTTCTGGTCCTGGAAGAGCAAGCCTTGCACTGCAAGACAAATTTGGTGCATCAATAACTTCCATTTTGTAATAATGAATGTTGAGTCGTTGACATATATAGAAATCCAAATCAAGGCTTCCCCAGAATTTAGTTAATTTATGCATCACTATGTCACATTGTATCTGGGCTTATCACATGGTATGTTGTATCTAGACACACACAAGATACATCGTAGTAGACGCACATTTATCATATGTTACATATTTCGCTAACAGGTATTAAGTGGAGCAACATAATTAATTACCATATACTGGCAAGCATTTCAATGAAATTATTGTTTAAAGTGTATAGCATACCTGGCAAATGCACTTGCAAAGTGTTTGCACTCTCCTCTCATTGGGCAAGCATTACAATTTGGCTTGCTCTTTGTACAGAAAACCTGCATGAAAACTCATAGAACTGCTTTATCATGTATATGAATCGATTCATCACTTGCATATACTACCCGAAATCAGCTCAATAATCACCTTGCCAAAAGTAATTAACTGATAGTGCAGCTCATATCTGAAAAATTAAGACATAAGACTAGAATTAGTTGTTTTACATGTCAATACAGGTTGAAATGTTGAGATAATCTATATATGAAAATAAAAAAGGATCCTTGAAATAGGATGATAGAGTGTACAATGTCCGCTGATCAAGTTTACATAGCCGAGGCCAAAGGTACTTTTGAATTGTCTCCAGTATAGGGTACCTTCATTGGACACGAGAGAGAAAAAAAATTACAGCTATTTCCTTTTAGCATACCTTGTGACAAGCTTGTTAATGAATCAACTAATAGCCAACAACGTCAAGATGCTTACATTTCTAAAAGATGTAACTGAAGAGATTCTGGCAAGGGTTGAAGTGGAACCCATCCCAGCCTCACAGCAATGCGACCAACATTCGTGTCAACCTTGTAAATGATACAATTAGATGAAGAATAAAGGCAGGCCTTGATAAGTCAGTCCGTTACAATAGAATCCTTACAGGAAAAGCTAGATGGTGAAGTGTCAAAAGCCGAACACATTCAACACTCTTGAGCCCCAGCCCATTTATGCTTAGAAGGTAGTCCCTGAAAATACCATAAGAAAATACACTGGACAACTTAGAGTAAATGCAAGTGTAACCTAATCTAGAAGGACCATAGTCAAAGACATCCAGTACAATGGAAATCACATAAACAGCAAACATATGTATGGAATGCCCACTGCCCTTTATTTGGAACATCACCTCCATGGCAGACAGCGATAATAAATTTCTAAGGTGAATACAGCTTCTCTCAACCACTCTCTATGCAAGAACGAGACTCCTTTTTTAGCGTGTGCGTGTTGGGGCCCGAGTTTTCAAGATGCTTCACATGAGATTGGAGCAAACAGAAAAATTAGGTGGAATATATACATATAGGATGAAATTGCAAACTCCCTTTACTGCTGGTTTAAGAGTCAATACACGATTTACATTATAGCTCTTACTTTGCTTTTTCTGGTGGAACGTATCTTAACCATTCAAGATCGATGCTTCCATGATCCCTAACCAGCCGATTGAGGAAGTCCTGGAAAGAGGTAATCATAATTAGATTAACCAAGTTCTGGAAAAACAAATTAACTGTAAACTGATTTTGGATGACAATCTGTAGCTAGAAATGGTAACCATAATCTATGAGAAGTATTTTTGTTATTCCATACTAAAAGGATGGCAGTGACCACAAGTTACATGAATAAATTGCAATTCAATATGGGTATAAATATATACTCGAAATTGATTTTGTTTGATTAATGAACTGAATCCTCCTCCATTAGACTCATCAAGATTTAACTTCTATTTAGGACATTTTTCTAGGCTTACCTTGATTCGTTCTGCCAGCTTGTTGTTCATGCCTCGTTCTCGGATAGTATTCGATATTTCACCCACATCTGCATTCCTTAATGCCTCATAGTCCAGTGAGTCCATTGTGTCATTGCTTCGTTCTTTTTTCGCACCATCATTTTCTGCCTCTTTTCGCAGATTATCCCAGTCATCGGTCCTCTTATCAATCTCAATTTTTCCCTTCTTAATCTTTGATTCATTGTTCATGGTTCCAGATGAAACCTTCTGAGATGTGTCTTTTCTTAAATTTGACTCAGCTACACCTCCAGCACCTAAATTGGTCCCCTGATTGTCATTGTTTAAATTTGAAGAAGATTGACGAGTTTCAACTGCTTTCTGAGGTCTTGCCATGTGAACTTCTGCTTGTCTTTCTCTTTGTTGAAACACAAGTTCATTCTCTTCTTGTTGATTTAAACATAAATGAGAAATATTTGTCTTTGAAGAGAACTCATTTTGACAACAACAATGTATCTCATTTTGAAGAGGCCTCATTCCTCCAAATGAATCAGCACGAGAGGCAACATTAGCATTGGTTGAACTTCCTGTATACGTAGCATATTGCCTGCTCATTGACTCATTTATAATCCTTTGATTTAATTCAAAAGAAGCTGGAGGTAAATAAGACTGGCTATATTCATTTATAAAAACATCAGATATCTCTGTTCTCAAAGATGAGCTCGAAAAATTCTGATAACCATAAGATGATGGAGCACCAAACAAACTCAAGAAATCATGTTCTGATGAGTGGAAAAGAGAATTAGAAGTGTCGGTGCAAGAACTTGAACCATGGAGATAAGGTCCATTTGTAACTGGTGGACTCTTGTCAATTCGTATGGATGCTGACCAATCAATCAAACTCTTGTGTGTTGCCGATAATATGCTTTCGTTGCCGGTAGCTTTCAAGTCATTCAGCACTTTTCCATCTGCCATATCTAGAAGCTCTCTGAATGAACTGACACCACTGCCCCTACCTATAGTTAGCAGCTCGTCACCTTCAGAGTTCATAACTGGAATCGGTTTGAGCTGTTCAGATGTCTGATCTGGATATTCTGAAGAATTTTGAGATGAAGCTAAAGAATTCTGTGATGAAACAACATCGTCTGAAGAATTTCTGTCATCACCTTCAACTGCAGTGAAAGTAACGACAGAGCCTAAAACGCTGTCCGGTGATTCATGACCTAGTCCTCGCCCAATGCTACAACCTAAATTATTGCTTTCAAGTGATTCAGTACTGTTAGACAGTTCTTTATTATGCATTTGCTCAGGTTCCTTGGTTCCTGACGAGCTTTGGCCACATCTCTTTTGCTCTGATACTTCTCCATTGACAGCTGTAGATCTGCTGATAATTTCTACATTAGCAGTGTTGTTGTTATTATCCTTTAACCGAGGAAACCTTGCGGCAAGGTACATGAATGCAGAGCTGTCCAAATCAAAGATAGAAAACCATGAGCAAATGAATGAAACCACTTCTTACTTCTATTATCTATTTTAATCTCAATTTTGCTTTAAAAATTTCAAAGTCCTTGGATGATTTCATCCTTATTTGCAGAGAAACTGAAGAGGCCAAGAGAAAGCTTGTGACTAGATATAAGATATGAAGATGATCACTTCCCAATTTAAGGGATGACTTTTGCACCTTGAAAGATGGTCTGAGACATTCTGTGTAAGAAATACACCAATCACTGAATCCACAACTGATCCTTTCCACTTCGAGAAGCGTCTATCACCTGAAGGGAAGATAATAACTAAAGAGAAGTGCATATTCAAAATTAAATTTGCAACTACAAGCACCACATAATAATAGATGTATGAGAAAAACATTAGTTTTATGCCGGGTTATTACATTAAGCCATTTGTCAACAAACAGAAAATGTGTATGCATTTAGACACAGTATCTATGAAGCCTGAAGCTTTTGCTATATTCCATTTTTGTCAACTCATAGAATTCTTCACGGGAGTAAAAGAATCACAGGAAGTACCAAGATTACCAAGAATATAGAAAGAATAACAACTATACCTTGGATCAGATGCATCCTAGCAATGAATGAGTCTGCGCGACCATGAAAAATTCGTCTTTCATTCTCCCACCACTTCTCCTTATCCATATTTGTTCCCTCTTCACCTACACTGCTTTCCTTTCCCATTAAAAGTCTCCAAACCCTATCTGATTCGGGATCCAGATCAACTTTTGGCCGAGGTTTCCGCTTCTTGATGAGGTTGCCGTTAAAGAGAACCATAGTGCCACTTCCTCCAGCATAAGGAACTAGCGCATTTTGTGGCTGAATTATAAAAACAACTCCATCACCACCATTTATGTCTAAATTACCCAATCCTTGGCCAATTTCCTCCATAGGATCTCCGTATCGTACAAGTGCCCTCGGCAAAGAATTCACAAGAGGATCTTGTTCCTTATTCTTCTGCCTTCTAGCCCTCGGTCTCATTTGCTTTTGCTTTCCAATCAGAGCTTCAACACGAGCTCTGGGTCCATAAATATCATGTTCGTGACTATTACTGCACCTCGATGTTTTTTCAGGAGTTGGAGGTTGGCTTCGGTCTACTTTGTCATGAACCTGTTTGTAGCTCGTCTCCCTCTCATTACGATCTGATGCCAAAATATACTTTGAGGATTGCATTTTCTCAAGGGCCATCGACCTTTGTGCATCTGCAAAGGAGAACGCTTGTCTACTGGTTTGCATGGCATGTATAGTCTTCCATCCACTAGAAGAAGCACTAGGTGCGGCTTCCTGGTGACCATTTTCTACTCTCCTTCTCTTGTGAATATCAGGAGGACATGGATTAGTACAATTCACACTGCAGTTTCCATTGCCCCTGTTGATTCCATTGTAATTTCCATTTCCTACTTGAAATAGGACCTCTGAGTTCCTATCTTGCGGATGATGTCTCTCTTGGTTGTTTCGACAATTTATCATCCTAGCAAGTTTCTTCAGATTCTCTCCCTCTCTTCTAATAGGCTGCTGCTGAGACGAGTTCATCTTCTCTACCATCCGCCCGAAGTCAGCCTGCCACTTCATTCTCAGCATCTCCTGCCTCGAAGGCCGAGGAGGTTGACTCGGAGTCTGTGGAGCTCTTAGGTTCCCATTCATCGAACTGTCGAGCTTCTCAAATCCAACACCACGGCCAATTGAACTCTCTAAAGCCACCGAGTCCTGCTCTTGGGAGCAAACAACAACAGTTTCTTTCCTCAATCCTGATAATTGATCTCCTGCGGCTTGAGAATCTGCTGAATCAAAATTCAAACTCCGCCTAACGGGCTTCTTCCTGCGCGTGCTATCGGCATCATCGCTGATCTTTTCTGGTGCGCTTGTGGGGTTCTCTTGCACCGGGCTCTCGTCTTTCTTCTCCCTCACACATCTCCTCTTTTCTGCTGAACTGGGGGTCGCGGTCTTCCTTGGTGTTCTTCTTGCAGGCTTTCCCTCTCTAATAACCTTAGGTGTATACTTCCTCCTCCTCGTCATCGGCTGATTTTGCGGCGGGGTCCTATTCAGGTCTACTCCTCCCCCTTGATTCTTGGACGAGTCTACGCCTTGATTTTGGGCCCGAGGAGAATCTAGCTGCCGATTCGACAGACGTTGGTCCCCCCCTGGTCTTTCTCCCGCTACAAATTGCTGCAAAAATCTTTCAGACTCGATCCTCAGTAGATCCTGAAAGCTCTCCGTTCCGCGACCCCAATCCAAATCCCCCACAGATTGCTGCTGCTGCTGCTGCATTCTTTCAGGATGAAAATTCAACAGAAGATCCTGAAAGCCGCGACCCCAATCCAAATCCCCCACAGATTGCTGCTGCTGCTGCTGCATTCTTTCAGGATGGAAATTCAACAGAAGATCCCTAAAGCTTGGCGCTCTACTGCTCTCCGTGTTATTTTGAGGCAACAAGTTGGGGTTCGGTAAGCAAGGAAACGGCGATCCGTCAGCTGCAAACAAAAACGAAATCAACAGAGAACGCGCACCAACCGACCGACCGACCGACTTTTTTTTTAAAAAAAAAGGAGAAGAAAACAGTAGCCGACCAAATCAAAGGTGGTACCTTTCATCTCGCGGCAACCGCGGCGTTCAACGCGACCGATCATGATCGGAGGTGCACTCATCTGCCTCATGATCGCCGGATCGTT